CCCCTGCTAGCCCACTCTGTTGCTCTCTACATGAAGCTCACAAAGTTAGTGCTGCTGGATGAGGGGATGGAAGCTCAGACAAGCTTGCCTGTTTAACTCTACCTTATATATCCCTCTCTTTCTCTTGTGCTCCCTGACCCAGACCTGACATTTGCAGCTGAGGACCTAGTTGGCCCTTGCCATAGAGGAACTTGTGTTTGCCTGTCAAAACCTCTACCTCAGGCTCTATAACACAAAAAATAAAGGACCCAGAGACTGATATTGGGGATCAGGCTTCAAGCAGAAGTTCAGAAAAGCAAAGCAGTTAGTTACTAGCTCTTACCATTGCCTCAGGCTGAAAAGGCTGATACTGTCTCCATGAGTTCTCACCAAGCCTCAGACTGTAACCTCTCCTCAGCATGCATGGCTGGAGAATCCTCAATGTGGCTGGAGAATGAATGCCTCTATCTTCAGTATGACTGGAGAATGAATGCCTCCTACTCAATACTGAAGACCCTGCTTCTATATTTTATACCCATCTAGTGCTTGGATGAAAGATGTGATCTGTTATTCTCGAACTCAGAGAGATCTGTCTACATCTTAATCCTGAGTCCTAGGATTAAATGTGTGTACCACCACTTCCTGGCTTCTGGCTGCTGGGATTAAAGGTGTGTGTCTGGCTTCTATGGCATGTGGTTGACTTTGCTTTATGGATCTTCAGGCAAGCTTTAATAAATCATAAGTATCACTACAGGGCTTGTTCACATTTCTAGGTCCAGGGAACCATAGCCCGCTCTCCCTAAGTCCATAGCTGATTTATCTCTGCCAGCTAACAGGAGCATTTCCAGGGCTTGGGACTGAGTGTCACTTTGACTCCTTGAGCCAGAAAGGGCTAAACTCATAGTACTCTCCTTAGACTGGGGATGGTGACACCAACCCTAGACTTTCTCCTGGACAACAGAGGTGTGGGAGACAAGTGGTACATTCCCCTCTTCTTCACAGTTCCTAAGCACATGGTCCCGTGTCTGGGCCTGGGGTCCTGTGCCCATGGGTGTTCCGGAAGGATTGCCTCATGCATGCTTGTGTCTCAGAGATTTCGGCTCTCACTGCATGCTTTTCTTTTGTTTTAACTGCAGAGACTGCTCACGTGTGTTATGACCTGCAGAACAAAGGCTGCTGTCTTCTGTTCATTTCCCTTCCTGTAACCCAACCTGAATGGCAACACGAGATGCAGTCTGTATTCTGCCAGCTCCCCTCTCTTTTCAGATGAGTATATTGGGCAGGGTTTGGTTTGTTTTCTTCTATTTTAATCCAGAACAATAGTCCCTCTTAAGCCATTTGTATTTCTGCATTCTTGTTCTGACATCCCATACACCAATATCCCAGCACAGATATTTGTATTACAATCGTGCAAGAATGGGGCTTCAGTACCCTTTTGCAGGAGAAACAGAGGCCCTGGCTTACACTGAATTCCTGTAGCAGGCTGCTGCTAGAAGGAACATCTTATTTCATGGATATGAAGCAATTTGCTGCTGGGGTTGTGGATACTGCGTGGTGTTCCCCCAGCTCTGCAGCTGTTCTGGGTCCCCTAGTCTCTGCAGCCATCCTGGGGTGCAGAACACTGTACACTTGTGCATAGGACTGGCTGGGAACTAACTGCTGATGGCCTCCTTGCCTTAGAGCAGCTAGTTGCAACAGCCAACCACAAAGTAGGCACCAGGCAGGCCGGCAGGCAGGGCGGGCAGGGAAAGGGCAAATGAACCCCAGCTGGCCACTGAGTTTCTGTTTCCTGTCAGAAAAGTGTTTTATGGGACCTGTGGGTGTGCAGGGCCCCAGAGTCTGACTGGCTTGTCCTCAAGGAGCTACCTATCAGACTATTTTACCACTCATGTCAAGTTCTAGAGCAGTGGGTTCCTTCATGGCCTCTCCACCACATCACTTCAAATGCCTTCTTCAAATGCTGAACTTTCCTGTTGTTTGCTTTTTTGAGACAGAGTCTGTGTTGCTCAGGCTAGCCTGAAACTCGTGGTCGTTTCTGTCTCCCAAATGTTGGGGTTACAGTTTGGAGCCAGGACTCTGGGCTTCCTTTTTGGGTTTGTTTTATCACACTATTGTTCATTTTGTATTCTGTGCATGTTCATGAACATATTGCATTGGGAGTGTGAAGACTATAGAACTACTTAGAGTCAGTTTTCTCCTCCTACAATGTGGGTCCTGGAGATTGAAGTCAAGTTGTCAGGCTTGGTAGCAGGGGCCTCTACACACTGAGTACTCTCCAGACCCTAATGCTTATTCTTTTATTTACTGTTTGCATGTTTGTGTGTGATGTGCATGTCTGTATATATGTGTTCACAATCATGTGTAGGGATATGTTATGTGTGAGCATGTGGGAAGGCCTGAGGTTGTTCAGTCATATTCCACTTTATTGAGGCAGGGCCTCTCCATTAATCCAGATTTTGCCAACTCCACCTAGTCTAAATAGCCAGCTTACCCCAGGGATCCCCTGTCTCTGCCTCCTTGAATTTAGCAACATAGCCAATTCAAAGCCCTCTCCCTCCCACTGGATGGGTGGATGCTGTACACAGGTTGCAGGCTCTAGGGAGATGACTCCTAACTTGGCCTCTGCAATCACATTACCCATGCAATGAATACACAGCAACAGTGGAAGAAACCCTCAGCACTGTGACTGCCATAAAGACCATCATCTCCTTCTCCTTCACATAGGTTCATAAGTCACATTTTCTCCCACTCTCTCTCTCTCTTCTCCCGACTCCTCTCAGTAAACATAGCCAGTGTGTACATGACACATAGGACATAACACCAGGCTAAAACTCAGAAACTCATGTGGAGTCACTCAGCTTTCAAGATCCCAGAGGACACTAGTGCTGCTGAAGACACACGTGTAACCATAGGAAGGCGAACTTGAACAGGAAGGACTGGAATGGAGGCAGAGCTGTAGCTCTGTGGCCCCACTTTGCCAGCATGCTGAGATTTGGCTTCTAGCTTCCTGCAGTGTCTCAGCTCCAAGGAGAGATGGTGATACCCTGCCAAAAGCCTTTAAAATTTAAATCACAATGGATGGGTGACTTGGTCCACACCCCTCACTTCAGCATCTGGGGGCCCACAAAGTCATTACTATGGTCACTGGTCTCATGGGCTTGGGCAGAACATCATGGTAGCAGAGTTATGTGAAGTTCTATACACACAGACACAGACACAGACACAGACACATACACACGGAGAGAGAAAGAGAGAGAGAGGAAGCTGAGGGGGCGGGAATAAGGAAAGGGATCTGAGCATCATGTAGCCGAAAGGATCTACCCCCAGTGAACCACTTCCTCTAACCAAGCTCCATCTTCCACAGTCCCATCAAATCAGGACTCTTTTGAGGGTTGAACCATGCTGGGCCTCTGGCCCTAAGGTGCTCTGAGAACTCCTTTACACACATTTTTTGGCTCTCAGTGCAGTCAGAGTTCCAGTCACAATGAACCATCCCAGTTACATATGGAAATAATTACACACTTTCACATATGTAGAAAAAATTATAGCCATGGGGCACACAGAGATTCACTGTTAAGAGGGTGTGTAAGCAGCAGTGGCCTACGGTTGAGCACTCTGTGCAGACATTTTGGTTTCTAATGCCACTCTGAGGGAGCTGCCTGGAGATGTGGTAGTTCTTGGGCCAGACCAAGTAACTGAGTCTGGGAGAGGCAGAAAGGGTCCAAAGGAGGGTTATGATCACTGGAATCTGCATGTAAAGTGACAAAAGTTGTGTGAATGGTTGGTTCTGGATGACGGCACTGTCTTGAGAGGTTATGGAACCTTTGGGATAGGCATTCTAGCTGGCACACACAGACCACTAGGGCGACCTTTGGAGGTTAAGCCCACCTCCGATTCTGATCTAAAGCTCTCTGCTTCATGATCCACGAAGAAGTGAAGAAGTCACATGCTCATGTCTGTATCAATACTCTGATAAATTATCTTGAGGGAGAGTGTTTGGTTGATAGTGGGGAGGGTGCTGCCCATCATGGGGGATGAGGCTGCTCAGAAAGATGAATGCTGGTCCTCAGCCCACTTTTTCCCAGTCCAGGACCCCCAACCCTTAGGTGCTGCCCACATCCAGAATGGGTCTTCCTATGTCAGTTAACCTAACCCAGAAATGCCCACACAGAGATGCTCACAGACCTGCCTCTTACGTGATTCTAGATCCTGTCAAATCAACAGTATCAACTGTCTTACCATGCTACAAGCTCTTACCACCGCTGACAGAACTGCCCAGCTGCCATGTCTCTCCTCCCATCTTGGGTTGAAAACCCGAGACTGTGAGTCAAGAAATCACAAAGAATACCCTTCATACCTGAAGTTGCTTCTGTTAGGCATTCTGCTACAGCAACAAGAAAAGCAACTAGTAATGCAAAGTATAAAGTACTCACGAATCCACTCTGACAAAAATGAGTTGACGGCAGCGCCAGAGTGGGGGGAGGGGAATCCCCAGTGTGGGGGGGTTTCAATGACTGGTGAAGGCATGATATCCTGAGATAGGGAAACATAATGTTCACCCCCTAAGTGTGGGCCCCCTCATAGAACCCCAAGCTGATAGAGAAGGAATTACTCAGTGAACACTGATCCTAGCCTACACAGTTCTACCCACTGCAGCCCTTAGTGGCCTGAAGTTTGATTTCAGACACCTCTCTGTGGGTTGGACACGGGGAGCCTGAGCTTCCTCCTCTGCAGTATAACCTCCCCACTTCCTTAGAGCCTCATTTTCTCCTAAGCTTGAAGAGCTCTGAAGCCATGTGGGAGATTATGGGCAGTGGCTAGGAGGCTCTCACTAGTACCTAAGTTGAGTAAATGACTGATTGCTCCTTGTCACTTCTTGACTGTGACACTGGCAACTGCTGATGCCAAAACTCTGCCCACCCCTCTCATGCCCATATTTGGACATGGTACAGGTTCTCACTGGCCTTGGTCTGTGAGGTCCTGGCCCTCTTTGACTTCACAATCCCCAGGGGCCCCTTGTGTCTATAAGAGGAAGAGGGTGCAGGCTCTCCAGCCACAGCCCGCAAAATTCCACCTGCTCACAGGTTGGCTGGCTTAACCCAGGTGGTGCCTCCTGCTCTGAGCCAGCTTCCGGCCAAGACAGCACCATGGCCAGGATACCGCTGCCGCAGCAAAAGTAGGAGCAGATGCCGCCGCCGCAGGCGAAGATGTCGCAGACGGAGGAGGCGATGCTGCAGGAGGAGGCGAAGTGAGCAGGGGTCTGGGCTGGGTCCAGGGGCCCGGGGGTTCTGGGGGTCCAGGGGGTCCAGGGATTGGGCACAGCCTGAGGTCTCCCTCACCACCTTTCTTTCTTCCCTAGGGTGCTGCCGCCGCCGCCGCACATACACCCTAAGGTGTAAAAGATACTAGATGCATAGCAAGTCCATCACAACTCCTGCCTGAAAATTTTACCAGACTTCAAGAGCCTCTCGCCACATCTTGAAAAGTGCCACCGTCCGATGAAAAACAGGAGCCTGCTAAGGAACAATGCCACCTGTCAATAAATGTTGAAAACTCATCCCACTCATGCCTCTTGGTTCTTGGGTTCTGGGAAGGGTGGGTGAATGTGGGTAAGGGGACATGAGTGACCAAGTGGAAAGGACTTCAAACCTCTCTATCGTCCCCAGCCATCTCTACAGAAGGGCTTAGGGAAGACGCATCTGAGGGACTCACCAGCAGACATGAGGGCCACCTAACCTGGGAGGTCTTGGGTCCAAGTCACACAAAGACCATCAAAGCCAGGCAGGAACTGCCCTGGAGACGTAAGACACCAAATGATGCTAGAGTAAGATGAGCTCCAGAGTCAGATTTAACTGGGGAACAAGAAATTCCAGTGGATCTGTGTGTGACAGGCTATCAAGACTCGCTTCACTGAAATGCCCCATCACCGACCCCTTCTCTGGTAAGCCCATGGGGCCTGAGCATTTGGGCTTGGCCCCAGTCCTTTGGTATGAATGCACAGGTCAGATAACCCTGGCTGGCATGTGCCTCCAGGGGCTGTTAGCTGAACCTGTGGCCAGCAAGTTCAACACTCATGGAAGGTTTTTGTGGTATTGGGGACCCAAGGCCTTACTCAGGTCAAAGGCCAATGAGTAAGGTCTTGATTCATCACTCTGTCCCACTTCAATATACTCCATGATGGGGAAACTAGGCTGTGTTGGAGATAGTGGAGATAAAGAGCTTCATTAATGTTTATTTTCTTGCTATTAGGTGAAGAGTACATTATCAAACTACACCTCAAGCCCCAGTCATGTACTATGGTTAAATGTAATTTGAGCTAGGGAGGTAAAGATGAGGGCTACACAGAGAAATCCAGGGTAGCCTGGGCTACAATGACACTCAAGAACTGTTCCAAGTATGCTTCGAATATGACCTGAGGTGTCTTACACCTTTAATCCCTGCCAGTGGGGCAGAGGCAGGCATATCTAACTGGTTGACCTACAGAGCAAGAACCAGGACAGCCAGGGTTACACAGCAAAAAATCCAAACCAAAACCATGAGAGGTTGCCAGCTTTGGGGGAAACATGTCCTTGGCTCTGAAGCCATGTTACCTCCAGCTGAACTCTGGCTCAGCAGTGACTTTATACTGATTTGGCCTGTGTATCCTTAGTGCATGTGGAGAAGGTGGGAAGCTTTCCTGCTGCCTAGTAGGAAGAAGACACACTGGGGCTGGGAGGTGATAAGTTGGGCACTGCAAGCATAACCCACAGCATGCAACAGGGCAAAAGGACCAGGATAGAAGTCCAAGGTGCGAGCAGCATGTTGCACTGGCTTTAAGACAAGGTGAGTAACTTGGCCCCTGCTCCCTGCTTGTGTCGCCCTCACAGAGGGGACTGGGCAGGGTGGGAACAATCAGGGGTGGGCCGACAGGTCACAGTGGGGTTTCCCTTTATATATGACCCCGAGAGCGCCCCACACCAGACCATCATCACCACCAAGAGCAGGTGGGGAGGCTTCCGTCCTCCTCCTCCCATCCAGGTTAGCTGCAGCCTCAGCCCAGAGCCACCTGATCTCCTGGCACTATGGTTCGTTACCGAGTGAGAAGCCCCAGTGAGCGTCCACGCAAGGGGCCTGGGCAAGAACATGAAGATCAGGGGCAAGGGTTGAGCCCAGAGCATGTGGAGGACTATGGGAGGACACATAGGGGCCACCACCATCACAGACACCGTCGCTGCTCACGTAGGAGGCTGCACCGGATCCACAAGAGGCGCCGGTCATGCAGGAGGCGGAGACACTCCTGCCGCCACAGGAGGCGGCATCGCAGAGGTAAGCACCAAGAGCCCCAGACCCCTGGCCACCTGTGTTGCTGCCCAGCAAGGCAAGGGTGGCCACATCTAAACCCTGCTGCTTCCCAGGTAGCCTAGCAAACCAGAACTTTCTTTCCCAAAGGTTGCAGAAGATCCCGCAGGAGGAGGAGATGCAGGTGCAGGAAGTGTAGGAGGCACCACTACCATTAGGCCTCCCCACTAGGCCATCCATCCTGCCTGGAGCCAAGGAAGTCACCTGACCAAGGAATAATCACATGCCCAAGTAATGTCACGGGAGGCCACAACACCGTTCCACATTGATGTCTGAGCTCTTGAGCTGCCAAGGAGCCACGAGATCTGAGTAATGAGCAAAGCCACCTGCCAAATAAAGCTTGACACAAGACTCACTGGTCGCTGTCTCCTTTTCTTGAACATCATGGACCTGAGGGGAGTAGGGACCATTCCTAGTTATTTTGTGAGGATGGTGAAATGGGTAGGATTCTACCCCTGAAAATGAACAGGACTGCATAAGGGGAGGAAGAAAGCTGGGGCTGGACAGCTTTCCCAGTTCCTGACTTGGAAGGCTTGCCCGACATTTGCCAGAACACCAGTGGGGTCCACACTCAATGCATTGGTCATGGGAAAATCCTTCAGCTCCTGCCCCTGCCACAAGGCAGCCACTGTTTTGTGCCCTTTCCACATCATCTCGGGGGCCATCTGAGCCAGTGATCAACAGAGCTCCAAGTTCCAGAGTGGGGGAGGGTGGTGCCTTGGCACCTGTTTATGAGGTCAGTGCCACACCCACTAGCCTCTCATCCTCCCGCTGCCCAATTTTCCTGCCTCCTAGTCCAGAGAGAGACAGGAGTGGGTGATGGGTTCCCGCTGTGCCAAGCTCAGCACCGGCCATGGCACTGCCCAGAACACTGGTCATAGCCGTGGCCACGAGTCCTCCATGAAGAAGCTCGTGGCCTGTGTGAGTCAAGACAACTTCTCCCTGTCATCAGAGGGTGAGGAGGAAGAGGATGAGGAGGAAGAGGAAGAGGAGGAGGAGGAGGAAGAGGAAGAGGAGGAGCAGATCCCGGTGAAAGGCAAGCTGTTGCTGATGCAGCCCGAGAAGCAGGAAAGCACTGAGGATAAGGCCGTGGCCCAGCCGAGCCCTGAGCCCAAGCAGACGCACTCCTGACCCACCCTGAGGCCTGCCCGGTGATGGTTGCCCATCACCACTCCAGAAAAGAGGACATTCAGAAAATAAAGAGTCTCCAAGGAACTTTCCTGGCTTCCCTCTTTCCTTTGATGTGTGTATGAGTGTATGGGCAGGCCTGGAGAACAGCCACCAGGGTGGGGATCCATTCTGAAAGGCTAGCTGGCTGTCTCTGTAGAGCCCTCATTTTGCTGCAGTGCTGCTTGGGGGGGGGGCAATTCTTCCTCTGAATGCTGAGATTACTTACAGGCTCAGACATATGTCTTACTAGGACACACTTGTCCTGGAGACCCAAAGAGAAGACATGTCTGCTTTTTAGTGCAATTCTTCTGCCCCCTTCATGCTTGGGAAGTTAGTTCCTGGCCTCCCAGGAGGCTGACTCCTTTTCTCGGCCCAGGTCCCGGCACCTGCACTAGTCGGGGTCTGCAACCGTCCTGATCCCGTCTCCCATTAACTCTTACCCAAGAGAAACAGCAGGTGTAACTTGCCCTGTGGAAGAGCCCTGTTTTCCCTTGGCTTTTATCCACACTGCCAAAGGTTCCCTTTCAGTCACCAGGAACCTGGTAGTGGAACCTAGTGTTAGTCCTCAGGGGAGAGTCAAAAAGCCATGGTGAGTACACAATGTCTTCGGGGAGTTGGGGAAGGTTGGTGGGGAACTGTGAAGGATGAGCAGTAAAATAGGACAGAGGCCCCAAACAGTCCTTCAGGTCTGGTCTAGTCTCCTCCCCACACAGTGAAGGGTTGGGTTGCTAGTCGCTCTCCCTGAGGCCTCAGGGCCAGCTGTTATCCTCTCAGAGCACAGCACAGAGCCTATGTTTCAGGTGTGCTGCCCAGAACAGGAGTCTAGCCACTGCTCCAGACTTGGGGTCAAACCCCAAGGTCTTGTGAGCACTATCCCTTGTGAGGACACTTGCCAGTCGATGTGAAGGCCAGTTCAGCTGGTCTGGCACAGCCTATGATACTTAGCTTCCATACCCTTTCAAATACCTCTTCCATAAATAAGGTTATAGTGGTAGGATCCTTAAGAATGTGGGTACATATCTGGAGGGAGAGGAAGCTACCATTCAGCCTGCTAATTGGAGTAACTGGGATGCTCCTAGGAAAAGCTGGCTAAAAAAGGATGAATACAGTAGGCAGGGCTCAGTAAACCAGGCAGTTTTCACAATGGGCCATCTGGCATGTTTATTAAGAAATCAAATTCGAGCTCTGCATGGTATATGCCTGCAATCCCAGCACTCGGGAGGTAGAGTCACCCTCAGCTGTGCCAGCTCATTGAGACTGTCTCAACAAAAGATGAGTTAAATGGCTCTGTGGTTAACTTGCCATCAAGCTAAAAACCTGACTTCAAGGAGAGAAACCATTCCTGAGAATTGTCCTCTGAAAACACACGCACGCGCACACATGCGCACGTGTGAGCACACTCACACACACACACACACACACACACAACACACACACACACAGATCCACACCAGTAAAGGCTGACCAGCAGTGTCTTGGTAATAGTACAGAAACATGGTCAGGGCCTTGTGGGCAGGAGGGTGACAGTGTCTCAGGGCCAGAGTTGGGGAAGCACAAGAGATCACAGGGGCTCTGGTAAAGTGGCTGGAGATTGGGAAGAACACATTGGCTCCAGAGCACACCAGCTTCAAGGTGACCTTTTCCTTTCCAGGTGAGTGGCCAGAGCAGACAACACTGAGTCCCACTGAGAGGCTGTCAGGACTGGGATGATATTCCAGGCTCAAAAGAATGGAAGGAAGACATTGGTAACCCCATGGCATACCCAAGATCAGACTTCAATGCAAATTAAGCTTTGAACACCACCCTCAACCTCTCACCTGGGAAGGCTGCTGGGGAGATGGGCCCATTCCAATTCCTAGTCACTATAAGCCTTTGATCCAAGATGTTATCCAGTCAGGTCACACAGCCTCACTGCCCACCACTGGCTATACCTCTATGGCAGGCCAGGCACCAGGTGGCAGGTGGAAAAGAACATTCTGCAGCTGTCAGAGGCCTTGAAGCACTGACTGCAGACTGGTCCTCTCCAAACCTCACGATGTCAATTGTTAATAATCCCAATGTCAATGTCACTGTGAGGCGGGTACAACAGTTTATTATCCCCATTCTGCAAAGCTAGGGAAAATGAAATATGGAGAAGTGAACACAAGAAGCAGCATATCTGAGATGTGGCCTCAACACAATCTGACCCACAGGGTCCTGAAAGCTGCCCCGCCCTGGGGAGAGGGCGAGGGCCAGGGCTTTCCCATAACTGTCACCCTCTGTGGCCTGTGCCATCATAATTGGCCCAGCTATATAACTGGGGGCTCTGGGGACTCCCCAGAGCTGGGCCTGCTCGAAGAGGAGGAGGAGGAGGTCTCTGCCCCTCCAAGTGTGGCCTCCCATGGACACCAAGATGCAGGTCTCCACCACTCATCCCCATCCCCATAGCTCCACTCGGCCCCAAGGTCACACCTGTAACCAGTGCAACTGCAGCCATCACTGCCGGAACTGCAGCCTCGCAGGCCACCCAAGCTCCAGTTCCAGCCCCAGCCCTGGCTCGCCATCGAGGCACCCCAAACAAGCCATGCACTCCCGATACTCAGCTTCAAGGTCCAGCCACCGTGGCAGCTGCTCCAAGACCAGGAAGACCCTGGAAGGGAAGGCGAACAAGAGAAAGGCGGCCAGGAGGCGGAAGCGGACACACCGAGCTAAGAGGCGTAGCTCAGGTACCTACTGGAGCAGTGGGAGGCTCTGCTGCAGCCTAGAAGCAGGGAAGATGGGCACAGGCTGCCCAGGAGGCTTCTGGATGGAGGGAGTGAGTGGGAAGCTAGTATTAAAGGACCCTTTCCCATTGCTATCTTTTAGGGAGAAGATACAAGTGAGACAACACTCCAGGTTGTTCCTGTGTCCATTTGATCCCAAACGGAGACAGCCATGACTAGGGGGAATGTTGGGAGGATGCTGACCTTACAGGAACGTGTCACTGCAGCAATTTCTATGTAACATGGATTAAAGCTTGTACCCTGGAAGACTATCCTTGACTTAGCAGTTTTGCTTTGTTTTAAATAAAGTGTCCCAAGCAATAATTGTGCAATAACCAATCGCCTTTGATTCATGCATGGTCACCCGCCGTGACACCAGGGAGGAAAAACGTTACTGAAAGTAGTGATGACTCCTGTGTGTGTTGTCCACCCTTGCGGGGAGACCCAGGTGTTCTGTGGAATCTTGTCTGCCCAGGCTATTGTCACCCTGCAGGAAAACTTCCTCCAGTTCTCCCTGCTCCACAATAATCAGCAGCATATCCATACAGGGGCTGGGCACCCTCACCTGAGTGGGACTAAGCATCCCCCCTTCTACCCCCAACTGCTCCACACCTTCCCACCCCATCAAGGAGTGTTGGGCAAAGAGCGCTTTCAAAATCACACAGTCAGTTCCCAGAACACTGTCAAAGCTGGAAAGAGAAACCAAATGCTCTCTACCTCTCCTACCTCCATGGCTAGAGAAAGGTGGCCAGTAAGGTCGGGTTGCATCCAGACCCAAACTGCATGCTTATGACCATAGCACTTTGGCAGAGGCAGGATAAACTTGCCACACAGGAGCTCAGCTGCTGGAGAGCAAGAAGCCCTGAGTTTCCCAGCATAAACTAGACACCTATAATCTCAGCACTTAAATGGGCACTCTGGTCTGCACACCCCACCCCACCCCCCTGGCCAGCTATGTTTGTTGCTCAGCACATTTCTCTTTTCCTCTGGTATCTGGATTTGGTTTCATTTTGATTTGAATTCACAACTTTCTAGAAATTGAAACTGAGTTGTCTGCTGCAATGTAGGCTGTGAGGAAAACTGCACCCAAATATTCTGCTTGACTCATCCTGAACTTTGCAGCCATGTCAAGGTACAGGAGAATTAAGACTCAGAAGGCTGGAAGAGACACAACAGGGAAGCATCCCAATGCTCAGAGATGCAGTGAGACTGGGCCTCTCAGCTTCTTTATCCGCAGACAAACCAGTGTGGAGACCATTGGGATGGGTCAGAACCCTGGCTGTACAGTAACTGCATCATGAACACATACATGGTTTAGTTTCCACAGCTGTAAAGTGAAGACTGAACCACTGGGCCCAGGAGTGATTTAAGATCAGAAAGTGCTTAGCATGCAATCAGCCTAAGCTGTAGGTCACAGCAAAGGAAGTAAAAGTATGGTCCCTAAGGATGGATGGGAGAGGCTAGCCAGGGCAGGGATGAAAGGACTGAGGGAATGAGGGTAGCTCTCCTGAGCAGCTGCTCAATGGGAATGGGGGTGGTGGGAGGCCTAGGGCCATCTGCTATTTATAGGCTTTCTTCTGCAAAGGCCTGCCAAGGAGCTTGGCAGGGAGGCAGGCCTGCAGAAGCCAGCCCAGCCTTGCCACCTTCTGGCAGGCCCACCCACCTCAGCACCAGCTCTCCTGCTGCCAAGTCCCAAGGAATACTGTACCTTGAAGACAAGTACCAAGAGACTTCCCTCTCCCACTTTGCCTGCTCTAGTCTATACTCCCTGAGCTTGGGTGTCTAAAAGAGACACAGTAGGCTTAGGATAGGATTCCATGCACAATCCCCCCGACCCCCCCACTCCCCGTGTTCAGTTCCCAACAATGCATAAACCAAGCATGGTGATGCCTGCCTGTAATCTCAGCCACACAAATTCAAGGAGCTCAAGGCCAGGATTTTTAGTTATGCTTAGGATGAAATGTGGAGTTCTGAGCTCAGCCTGGGAAAACTGAGGAAGGGAGACCAGGAGGACCTGACCACTGAGCTTCAGACTAGCCGACAGGCAGCATTCCGAGAGAAGCCTGTGGAGGGCAGTGTGCGTCATTGCGAGATACCGAAGTTTGCACGCGAACCTCCTCACCCGCCTTCATTCATAAACATCGCCACCAGCCAGGCTTCTACTCATGGTCTTCCAGGACGAACTGAATCACAAAACCACACAGTGTCCTAATGATAGGTCTGACCGCCTGGATCCCAAACCCAAGGTGTACACGGAGCACGGGGAGCCCTTACGCAAGCAGATGCTTGCTGGAGCCTTGAGGGCATCTGTAAGGTTGAGGCGGGATGGTGGGGAGACGAGTGTTGGGGTTACAGCTGAGAAAGCCTCATTTTTTTCCGCACTGGGTTCGTCTGGAGATACCCAGCTACTGTGAATCACGTAGTTTCTCCAGTTGCCCACGTAGTAGGAGTGCAGGGAGAGTGAGTCCAGGCCGCTGGGGACCCAGCCCAACCCCACCCGGTTTCCGAGGAACTCGGCCGGGACTGGGGTGCCCCTCCCGCATCGCCTTAGGCTTCCTTTGAAGCCTCTGCGGTCAGGCCACCGCTTCCTGGGAAGCCCAAGCCAAGGCCAGGCCGGGTGGCCAACGGGAGGGGCCCGCGCATTGGGTTCCGAGGAGGGCCGCGGCCCAGCCGGGCTTCAGGACTGAGCCGCGGGCTCCAAGATGGGCCGAGATTGCCAAGGCCTTCGGGTCCTGGGCGGGAAGAATCCTTGCAGGGAGGAGCTTATTAGGGGGGCGCAGGTTTCCAGGCAAGGCGGAGCCCTGACCAAGAGGATGCAGACACCCGGAGGGGAAGAGGAGTGCCAGCGCCGCGCGAGCATCCCACCCGGCCGGCTGCAGGGATGTGGGGCGAAGGTGGCCATAGCAAAAGAGCGGGCACCAGGTCCTAAGGCGGCCATCCCAGATACGGGCTAGAAGATTTGAGGCAGAGCCAGAAGCCCATGACGCAGAGGTCCCAATCAGGGAAGGTGCGGGGTAAGACGGAGCTAGAGAACGGTCTCCAGGGAAAGCCGCAGGAGGCGAAAGAGTGGACTCGAAAGACTCGCCGGAAAGAGAAACCGAAAGCGGCGGTGGGTGGGACTGGTAGGCGGGGCTTCTCTGGCAGGTTTAAGAGCCTGATGCAGGGGCAGGCAGCCCCAGAGCGAGCTGCGGCCGTGGCAGCTGCACGGCTCCCGGCCCCGGAGCATGCGCGACAGCCGCCCCGGAGCCCCCAGCCGCGGCGCCCCGCGTCCCGCCGCCAGGTGAGCCGGGACAGCGGCGGAGGAGGAGGTGGGAGGGGATGGGAGGAAGGGGAGCTGAGCCCGGCAGACTGGCCTCTCAGACTGCTTGGTGGGGTCGTGGATGCCACGCCTCTGGTGCCCGCCCGCCCGCCCCACCGGCTCGTCCAGGCGGGCCCCCGCGGCGCGGGGTGCCTGCAGCGCCTCCTCTCCGGCCCTGAGCCCAAGTCGCCCTCCAGGGTTCCAGTCCCCGGTGTGGCCAGCAGGCGGCAGCCGCTGGGCGGCGAGCCACTAGCGGGGACGGCCCGAAATCGGGCCCCTCTCCACGCCCCCTTCTCCACGCGCGCGGGGAGGCTGGGCTCCACCACAAGCCTGGAAGGGTTCCATGTACGGGAATGGCCTACTTCGCAGATAAGCCCACGGAGGCTCAGATGCTCCGGGCGGATTCCGCGTTCCGCCCTCGCTCCTTGGGGTCCGCTGGCCGGACAGCGCCACCCGGACGCCCGGCTCACTGCTTCTGTCTCCCTCATCAGCGCAGCCCCGGACGCTATGGCCCACCTCTCCTGCTGGCCCCTCGTGTAGGATGGTAGCACGTAACCAGGTGGCAGCCGACAATGCGATCTCCCCGGCAGCAGAGCCCCGACGGCGGCCAGAGTCCTCCTCATCCTCGTCTTCGTCCTCTCCGGCCGCCCCCTCGCGTACGCGGCCCTGCCCTGCGGTCCCGGCCCCGGCCCCTGGAGACACTCACTTCCGCACGTTTCGCTCCCACTCCGATTACCGTCGGATCACGCGGACCAGCGCTCTCTTGGACGCCTGCGGCTTCTACTGGGGGACCCCTGAGCGTGCACGGGGCGCACGAGCGGCTGCGTGCTGAGCCCGTGGGCACCTTCCTGGTGCGCGATAGTCGCCAACGAAACTGCTTCTTTGCTCTCAGCGTGAAGATGGCTTCGGGCCCCACGAGCATCCGCGTGCACTTCCAGGCCGGCCGCTTTCACCTGGACGGCAGCCGCGAGACCTTCGACTGCCTCTTCGAGCTGCTGGAGCACTACGTGGCGGCGCCACGCCGCATGTTGGGGGCCCCGCTGCGCCAGCGCCGCGTGCGGCCGCTGCAGGAGCTGTGTCGCCAGCGCATCGTGGCCGCTGTGGGTCGCGAGAACCTGGCGCGCATCCCTCTTAATCCCGTACTCCGTGACTACCTGAGTTCCTTCCCCTTCCAGATCTGACCGGCCCATTGCCGTGCCCGCAGCATTAAGTGGGGGCACCTTATTATTTCTTATTATTAATTATTATTATTTCCCTGGAACCACGTGGGAGCCCTCCCCGCCTGGGTCGGAGGGAGTGGGTGTGGAGGGTGAGGTGCCTCTGGCTTCTGGCTGGAGACCCCATCCTGCCTCTCAGGGGGCCTCCCCTCCAGGTGCTCCCTCCAGGTCCCCTGGTTGTAGCAGCTTGTATCTGGGGCCAGAAAGAACCTGAACTCCACTCCTACCTCTCCATGTTTACATATTCCCAGTATCTTTGCACAAACCAGGGGTGGGGGAGGGTCTCTGGCTTCATTTTTCTGCTATGCAGAATACCCTATTTTATATTTTTACAGCCAGTTTATATAATAAACTTTATTATGAAAGTTTTTTTTTTTTAAAGAAAAATAAGATTTCTGGAGTGTATATTTTGGTCAGGTATCCTGGGTTGGGGATGGGGGCAAGGGATATGCAGATTGATTTTTTTCTTGAAGTGGTTGGGGATGCTGAGGCTGGGGGTTGGGCAACATGCACAACTCCACCCACAGTATTGGGGACCAAATTGCCAGGCTAGTTTTGATGTGTGTCTGGAAAGATGGCTGCTCCAGTCTGAGCACTCCTGGGTATCTGTGCCTGGTCTCTGCTACCCCTGCTTGAGCGAATCTTCCAGGGACAGCCCCTGACACTTAGTACTGCCTTGTCCCCATCGTACAGAGGAGAAAAGTGAGGGACAGGTAATTGGTGCCAGGCCACTCCTGGTGGAGAGGTGGGCCCCTTTGACTGTCTACCCCGCATCAGTTTGAACTGGATGACAGAAAAGAAACTTCTTTGCTCCTCTGACCACAACTACTTCCAGGAAGAGGGTGGGGCAGAGCCGCCAGGGCTTACCGAGTTTTTGGAAGGAGTGGCAGGTTCTGCAAGCCATCAAGTGTTTGAGAAGCGATGATGAGCCATGCTGGCTTGACTGTTGCTTCCCACCCCACTCTGCCTTGTGTACTTTTTCAGAGCCAGAAAGCTGCTTTGTGGTCTGTGGTGGCAGGGGCCTGGTGCTGCTGGTGGCTTGGGCAATTCCCTTTGCCTCTCTGGGCCTCTGAAAGGCCCAGCTCTGTGAGGTAGTGGTGGTGGCAAGAATCCAGGTGGAAGGGCTGTTTCAGGACACTTGTGGGTACCAGAAAGGACCTAGGACATTGGCTTTGAGACAAATTGGCTGGGTAGGAACTGGTGGGCTGAGTCACAGCTAAGTGTCATGCTTCCAGAGGCTTTCCTAGTGTCTAGTGATTGTGTCCAGAGGAAGCAACTGCTCTGGGCACACTGGCTGGGCCCAGGCTTGCTCTATGGTTTAGAAGGGCTGGATTCTTCCAGGCCCAGGGCAGCCAGTCCTTCAGGGAGGCGGGGTGGGAGAATGGAGGCCATGTTTGGTTTGCCCCCTATTCCTTCTTTTTAGACCTGACCTTGCTGTATGTATTAATGAGGTCCTACCCTTGCAGGGCAGAGACCAAGTGGCAATACTAGTGATAATTTGCAGACCTCCTAGTTAGAGCTGGGGGGAGGGGGGTGCTAACTGGGAAGACCCTGTTTAAAATACTTGGACCTGCCTGGAAGTCAAGCTCCTACCTCTAGGAAATAGGCCAAAAGGCAAAAAGGAGCTCCCACACTGGCACAAACCAGCTGCCATTCACCTGGGCCTTCTGATTGGTAGTGTGGTACTGTTGGCATCCCCATTTCACAGGCAGGAACCAGCCCTCCTTCAAGCATAAGTTGAATTTGCAGTTAGTTTTACAGCATGCCAGGGGGATTTCCTGCTCTGAAAAAAGTTGGCAAGTTCTGTGTTCATCACAGAGGTCTAAATCACAGACCCATTGCTTTGTAAAAGCCGGAGGCAGAACAGCTAGGAATAAAGACTCCTGTCCCTCGCCCTCCCCAGAGCTGGCCTCTTCTTCCACTTATGAGTCATTAAAAAAAAAAAAAAAAAAAAATCCATCCTGACATATGAAAGGTGACCTAAAAGTCCCTGGGAGTGGCACTAGTTGTCTGTCTGTTGCCCTGTGGGTTCCCTGGGGCTCAGATTCTCTATCTGGCCCCCAAACCTCAGCCTTATGATTCATCAGTGATTACATTTCTGCACAAGATGAAAAGTGAGAGGAAGGACCAAGTAGGGGGCCAGGTCGGGTGTGGGGCTGGCAAACAGGGAAGGGAGCATGTCTGATTATTGTATGTGCTTGCACACACACACACACACACACACACACACACACAGGAGACCAGCCTAAAAGCCAACACAGCTGGCAACTGTGGGCTTTGTTTTACTGAGGAAGAAGACTCAGGTGCAGGAAGGTCCAATGTGGCAGCCAGGCCTTGGAGTAATGGGGTTGTGCTGTTTTCAGCAAGATGAGTGAGCTTCTCTCTCTCTCTCTCTCTCTCTCTCTCTCTCTCTCTCTCTCTCTCTCTCTCTCTCTCTGTGTGTGTGTGTGTGTGTGTGTGTTGTTTTTTGGAGACAGGGTTTCTCTGTATAGCCCTAGCTGAACTCGATCTGTAGATGAGGCTGGTATCGAACTCAGAGATCCACCTGCCTCTGTCTCCCTAGTGCTGCCTTTGTACCACCACCCAGATGAGTTTCTTAAAAGAGTTGAGGAGGGAAAAAGAGGGAGGGAACCTGTGAAGTGCATTTCTGGGCCTCCCCTTATCCGTGGGCTCTCTTCAACCTTAGGAGGTGGTCATGAAATGGACAGGCAAGCCTTTTCTCTTCTCTGGATTGTCCATCATAAAGCACTTAGCACAGAACCATGGTATGTAGTAGGTGCCTAATCTCTGCACAATGAGGTGCTCCATGTCCAGATCACAAACACTAAAGTAAAATCTGGGAAGATGGAGAGTTCATGGTCAGTCTGGACTGATAGATAATAAACACTACCCATTTCAGGTGTTCTAAGCCCAAGGATACAGAAATGGATGGAAGAGGGATTCTGGGCTCTGTTATCAGGCAGAGTTTTGCTAAATATAAAGAAATGATACTCCAAGCAGTGCTCAGAGGAAAGCTAACGGTGGCTGGTGGTGGGTGGCACTGGACAATATCAGGAAGGCCATCCAAGAGTCCTTGAAGTAACAGATCTGAAATGACCAGGAAAGATGGGGGAAAGGCATAATGGAGAGGGCAAACCCAGTTTTGCTCACCACATAATTTTCCAGCAGGGAAGGCTCTGTTGTGCTGTGCAGGACCCCACTGGTCTCAGGGGGGACTTCGTAGGGAGCCTGGACGCACACTGTGTTGGGACCGGGTCCTCTGGCCTTTGGGTAGAGATGGGTTGAGGTGGCTAGTCCTGACATCACAGGTTTGAGCTTGCCTGTATAGGGTCACTCCTGGCCAGAGCTTTGCTCCAACAGGCTAAACAGCAAGGGAAACAGAAGGCTGAGGTCCAACACAGGTCAGTTGTGGAAGGCCTCTCTCAAAATCTCAAGTGTGAGTCTGTTTGGCACCTGGGGCTCCTGAAGCAATGCCCATCTGAGCAGGGTGGGACTCAACTTTAGGAAAGCCCACTGGGTTCCAGGAAGGAGGTGTGTGAAGCTGACGGGTTGTTGTAACCTGGGCCACTTGCATGGCTACTCCACACCCCTGGGCAGCAGCTGGTCAGGCCTCCCCCATAGAAAGTACCTAGAATAACAAAGGGGGGGGTCAGCTTAATACTGGGGGAGCCTCAAGGGTCCTCCTCAGAGTACTGTTTTCACCAAAGCAAAAATCACACAACAGCAGTGCCTAGTGTGGCACCTTGAACTTGGAACTGGGACCTAAGCCACAACCCTTACAGGAACCACGGGTCCCAGGCCCACAAGTGACTGTGGGATGTTTGGTACATCTCCTATCCTGTCCTGCCCTGGCACACAGGCTTGAGGACCTAAGGCCTTTGCAGGGGGCCTTGCCTAGCTATGGCCCAGTGCTCACTAGCTCCAGCTTTCAGGCCGTTGTGCTTTGTGTGGTGGTAGGTGACTAGGTAAAGCATTGGTCCTGTTTTCAGCCAGTGGTTGATGACATCACTACACTTACTGGCCTGCACTGGGCTACGCTCACCTCTGCTTGGCTTCCTTCACCAGCAGCCCCCTTGTGGAATGAATGGGGGCCTGTGTATGCAGCCTGGTTGGCTCCTTAAAAGGCCTAGAGAAGGCATATCTCGAGGTTATACCAGGTCAGAGTGATGATAACCAGCCATCCTCTGTCCACACCCACTTTTATAATATTCATTTTTAAGTGGGGCAGTGGTGGCACATGCCTTTAATCCCAGCACTCAGGATGCAGAGGCAAGTGGATCTCTGTGAGTTCAAGGCCATCCTGGTCTACTAAGGGAGTTACAGGACAGTCAAGGCTACACAGAGAAACTCTGGAAAAAAACAAAGAATATTTTTATTAGTTTTAATTATGTGTATGTGCATGTAATATTTTTGCAGAAGTGTATGTGCATATTAGTGACAGTGCCCTGGAGATCAAAAGATGGTATCAGATTCCCTAGAGTTAGATTACAGATGGCTATGAGCCACATGATGTGGGTACTGGGAATCGAACTCAGGTTGTCCTAGGTCTTTTGTCTTTTTCTGTTGCTGCAATAAAACATTGACCAAAAACAACTTGGAGGAGAAAGGTGTTTATTTAATCTTTCAGGTCACAATGTATCCCTGAGTGAAGTGAAGTCAGGGCAAGAACTTAATCAAGAACTTGGGGGTAGAAGATAAAGCAGAAGCCATGAAAAGGCTTACTGTCTTGTCCAGTTTGCCCGTGTGTGTGTGTGTGTGTGTGTGTGTGTGTGTGTGTGCGCCAATATACACATACATATATGTAAAGTGAACTACCTGCCCTGGAGTTGGTATAACACACAGTGGGCATGAGCCATTCTAGATCAATCATTAGTTAAAAAAATGCCCCCACAGATACAGCCACAGGCTAATCATCTGGAGGCCATTCTTCAAGTAAGATTCCCTCTTCTCAAGTGGCTCTAATTTGTGTCAGGTTGACAAAAAATGACCAGCACATAGGGCCTTTGAAAGAGCAATACTGGCATTTAACCTTTTAACCACTGAGCCATCTCTCTAGTCCCTAATCCTCTTTTTTTTTTTTTTTTTTTTTTTTTTTTTTAATTTCAAGACTGCTTTTCTGTGTAGCCATAGCTGTTCTGGAATTGCTCTGTAGACCAGGCTGGCCTTGAACTCAAAGATGCACCTGCCTCTTTTTCCTGAGTGCTGGGTTTAAAGGTGTGTGCCACTACTGCCTTAACCCTCTTTTTAAAGACGGTCTCCTAGATCTCCATCCTAGTTCTGAGTTGGCCTGGACCTCAGTATATAGCTTAGGCTGTCATTAAACCCTCAGTTCTCCCACTTCAGCCTGCAGGTTTGAACTGCTGTG